TCATCAAGTATTTCCAGCCTTTTGTGAAATAGACTTTGAATTGGGATTCCTTTTCCAGGATCTGTTTATCATCTGGCCAAAATCACTTTCCCAAGAAACCAAGGGATAAAACCTGTATGTAAAATTACTGTTTAGTGAGCATCACCTTACCTGTTCCCCAGAAAAATAATTTAGCTCTCTTTCATTTCAATCCTTATCACCGCACCACTGCCATCTACAGCTAAGGCAATCTCCAGATAGGAGTCCTTCCTGCACACATGTCCAGCTCCAAGTTTTTGATGGAGTGGTTAAGGTGGCGTCCCTAAAGACTTCATTTTAAAGATCCCTTTTGCTAATCAGATCAATGATCTACTTCATGTAAACTTCAATTTCTTTGTGTCTTAAAAAGAAAATTACATCTCAAGAATCCCACAGGCCATCTCACCTGCCCCAGAGGCCCTCCAGCCCCATTCCACAGCGGCCCCATAGAGGGTGTGACATCTAGCACAGAGATGCCAAGCCTTGCCCGCTGTTGCTTCCCCTTAATTGCAACAGAGGAAGCAACCCCCATGAGAAAGAAAGGGCATGTTTGCAGAGAAACAGAGAAATGAGAAAAGTTTCCAAAGTTTTGTAGCTTTTTTTCTTTTGTTTATTGAGAACTCCAAATAGCTGTGTCCTGACCTCTTGGAGGGAATGCGGAATGCACAAGCTGTGACTCAGGGCTGGCCACTGGCACACACAAAAATAGGCAAAGTGCATCTGGACTCTGGAGCCTTTCTTTCCCTCTCAATTTGTATTCTCCCCAGATCGCCCTCTTCCTGTGCTCAAGAAAGCACTGCTTATTACAGCTTATTCTTTAAAAAGCTATCAAATAGGCAGTTAAAAATGTTAGTGTTCAGCAATAGCAAAAGTATAGGGATATAGATATCCCATAAAAATTTTGGTATGTTTTTATATTGGTATGTCCTTTGTGGCCAGCGACTTGCAACATTTATCAACGACCTTAAAATGTAGAACCCTTAAATGAAAATAGTCCACTTAGGGAAACTTTTTGCTAGAAAGTATTCACTTGTGCAAAATTCACAAACTGTTAGAGTGTGTCAGAATTTCAGAAATAAAAACTAAGCTAAATGAACACAAATATGAAATTGGTTAAAACATTATGGCACACTCATACTAAAATACTAAGCAGCCATTATATTGGAAAAATACTTTGTAGCAGTTAAAATATGATAAAAATGAGTAAAAACCATGTCGAACAGTAAAAATAATACCTGCATGAAATAAAGAGCAAAGCACTAGAATTTTAAAGAAATGTTGTCTTTAGATACTAATGATACGGTGACTTCTCTGACTCTTCTTTATCTGAATTTTATAGTTTTTAAGGTGAGCATACAGCACCATTATGATTTTTTAAAAGGGGATTCTATTTTGTTTTACTTTAAGAAGAAAAATCTGATATTGTGTTCATGCGAGTGGCTTCATTATTTTGTTGCCTATTTGTGAAATAAAAGCTTTTTTTTTTTTAAATCTGGAAAAGTAAACTTAAACATTTGGAACGTGTGCAAAATGATTTTTTGTAACAGGCATGCTCTCAAGGACATAAACCAGCAGCTGCTGCGTGGTTCAGTCAGGCCCCAGAGGAGGCTGAGCCTTCCTTCTCGTGCCTCCTTTATATGTGGGAGTCCCTGTGAAGCCATTTATATCTGCAACTCCAAAACCCAGGGTACTGCCATCTCCCTAATTTGTCCTCAGTGATATGTGGTTTTCTTACCTGTAGTTGAAACACTATTAAGATAAGAAGATGAAGCCTTAAAGGAGCTTTGGAAGGAAAAAAACATGTCACCTTAAAGTGTGTTGAAATTCCTTAGCTAGGTGCTCACGTCAGCTCATACCACTTCTCCAAGGTCTGGTGCCGGATTATGCCCATGTCTTTGCTCAAGCTGGGTAATTCAATTCCATCTTCAAAACCTAACCCAAGTATCTACTCTTTCCTAAACACTACTCCACAGCCCTCTGTTGTGGCCCTCACTACTCCCAGAGGGCAGAAACAGAATTAATTTCTCCCTTCCATGAGCACTCATAGTGTGCTTTTCATGTTGCTAATGCAGAATGAATCAGAAAGCATGAGGCTTGCCAGGTTAGCTCTCTTTGCCCCACTCTCTAATCTAATCCTGCCTCTGGGGACCTTGAGCAGGGGAAAGGTAGGGAGCAAGGGGCAAGACACTAATATTTTTTTTTAAGATTTATTTATTTATTTATACAAGCACTGGGTACAGTCAGAAGCACAGGAGGGTGAGAGAATTCACCAGAGCCAGAGGGGAGAGCAGAGCAGGCAGAAGGACTGAAGCACACCGCTGAGGGGAGCAGCAGGCAGCAGGAGAGGTCTGCGCGCCATGTGGGACCCTCGCCCAGCAGCCGGGGATCAAACCAGCGCTGCAGAGGCTGCGGGCAGCTTCGCAGCTCAGCACTCAACCGCTGCGCCACCGGGGAGGCCCAAGACACTAATATTTATTGAGTCCCTGCTGTTGATCATGCACCATCTGTAATCGGTGCTTTTACTTACACTACTTGGTTATTATCAAATCACCTAAAATATGTGCAGTATTCTCTTTACTGTAAAGGGAAGTGGAAAAGGAGACTGTCAGAGGTTATGCCGTCTTATCAAAGTAGCACATGTGTTGCCAAGGAGTTGTGTCCCCCCAAAAAGCCTATGTTGAAGTCCATATCCTGATGTGATAGTATTTGAAAATGGCACCTTTGAAAGGTCATTAGGGTCAGATGAAGTCATGAAGGTGGGGACCTCATGATGGTATTAGTGCCCTTATGAGAAGAGACACTATGAGTTTGCTCTTGTCCTTCACATGAGGACAGCAAGAAGGTGGCTGTCTGCCAGCCAGGAAGAGAGCTCTCACTGGGGTGCCAGCCATGCTCACAGCCCAGCCTCTGAGCTAAGACTTCCAAACTCAAGAACTGTAAGAAAATAAATATCTGTTGCGCATGCTGCCTGGTCTGTGAGTATCAATATTTTGTGATACAGCCAGAGTAACAGAGCTGTTCAATAGCAGAGCTGGCATGCAAACCCTGACTGATGTTTTTCTACAATTCTAAGTTGCCTCTCATTGTGAACTGCTCATCCATTGTCTTTATAACTCCAGTATTTAGCAGAATGACTGGACCCTAGTAGACAGAAATCCAACAGATAGACACTAGATGTTGAATGGGTACCTGAATTTATCATAAATGACTACGGATGGAAAGATGAGCATTTGCAATTGAACTTCTGAAATCCAGACACACAAGAGTTCACAAACTTTTTCAGTGAAACAAATATTTCTGATTGTCATATAGCAATTGTACAGCTCCTTTGTTGCAGAGAATCTACCTGTGTGTTCTGGAGAGTATCCAGTATACCAATGGCATTTTTTGAGCTGTTTTATATAAAAAGAAGAGTTTCTCCTTAGGAGTCAGTTGGGAATGCTGAGAATCTTTTGAGGTTACTGCTTTTACTACAGAAATTATACCTTGATGGTGTAAGTGCAGGAGGAAAGGATGACACAACAGAGAAACAGGCTCAGTTAATAATCACTAGTCTCATTCAGAACAGGACTTGAATCTTACAGAGGAAACCTTCAAAAAGTAAATGATCATATATATTAACTTCAAGTATTTTATGTGAGAATGACAAATATAAGTTTCTTCTCTACTTCATCATTTTATGATATTTAATTTGTACTTACTTTGCAATATATATTTGTATTTATGTCTATATATTTAAAAGTTTCTTATTCTTTTCATTAGTGATATATTTACAGACCTAATGGGTTATCACTTACCTACAAGTAGGCCAGAAATACAAAGAAATGTATTGCTTCCTGTATCTGGAAATGAAAGGTGTGAGTGGTAGAAAATATGTCTTGGAAGTTCTTTCCAACTTCTACATTCAATGATTCTACTTCATTGGTTGTAATAGTCAGAGGAGAAGGGTGGATCTCCCCCATCTTCAAAACTCAATTCAATATTTCCTTTTTCCTTGACACTCTCTCCCCCACCCATGATGCTCCATTCCATCCCCACAGAGAAGAATCTGTATTAATCTCCCCTTCTATAAATATCCATGACACTTTGACTGACTTGCTAATACAGGATGGATCAGATTGCACTATGCCAGGCACACAAGTTTATTTCTCCTTGCTCTTTGGCTCTCTCCAAGCTGAGAATGTCTCGGAGGTTACCAGGAGCCCACCATCATCACGTTTAATGAACCAAAGGCAGCAAATGAATACTCTCTGCTTTCTTAAACTGGAAAAGCACAGAGTAGACTTTATTTCATGTTATAAAAATAAAAATGGGCACAGCTCATTTTTTAAAGAATATACATTTCAATGTTAGCCCATTCTTGATAATAAAATGCATAGCTTTTTCTTCCTTTTTATAGCGTGATTATCATCATGGTGGGTGTAATCACATCAAATGTTGTTTTATTTTAATAGTGATTTGGATTCTGACATATTTACTATCATTTCAGTAATTATGAAAAACAAATTTCATAGTCTCCTGATGCCTTTGTTCATCAGCTACAATATTTAATGTAAAACCTGGGGTAAGAATTTCAGGGGCTCTCATGAGTTTTCTTAGCTTTCTAACCTGCAAGCTGAGAGTCAGTTCCTCAGTTTAGCTTGGAAATGTGCGTAGTTAAGGAAGCAGCGAACCAGGGGCAAGAAGAAAATCCAGGTCCATACATCCCTTTCTCTCTCCACTAAAACTTCAATTCCTTTCATGCCTGCTCATATAATTCAATCTTGCAAAAGAGGAATAAATATGCCTCCCTTCTAAATCCACATGGCTGACATAGCTCAGTCTTGTTCCTAGCTCCATGAAAGTATCAGTATGTGTGTACACACTTAAATCCTACTCTATTAGCCAATATTTTTAAAAGATATAAATGTGAAAGAAAAAAGATGTAAAAAGTAAAATAGATGTGAATGTCATAAAGGAGACACTCAGGGACATAGCTAAAAGATTAAAGGTAAATATATATTATGAGACGTAATAAGGTGGTCAGGATGAAATTAAGTTGAAATGTAATATATGGCGATGAAAGGAAATTAAATATGAAACCCTGAGATACTTATTAAGCCGTCAGTGAGAATCTGGATGATGATGTCACGACTAGGAGAGAAGACTTGTGCAAAGTTGGACGAGATCCAGTTTGTGCTGTAGATTTATGCAGTTAATTTTGTCCCCTGACTGCATTCAGATGAGCATTTCTCCGCGACATACACCAAGAAAATTGCTGCATTATAGCTGTGTTAATGGTAATCAGCATGCTAATGAGCACCAGAAGGTCGTTACAGCAAAGAGAGGTTCAAAGATGTATAACCTAGAGGAAACAAGAATGTAATTCTTCAGGGAATGCAAGTGTCTTGTTTGTAGGTCATAGATTATTTGTTTTGGTCACTGCATTGCACAGGGAGTTTAATTTAAGCAGGAAAAAAAATGAAGCTTTTTGAATTGAGAGAGAAGCCCTGCTTAATTAAGGAAAGTCATGCTGGATAGCTTTGAATTTGTGTAAAAAGAGAATTCTTCAGTAGACCTAAGATCATTCTAATTGTGCTGTCCCATGCGGAATTATATCTGTGCTTACGCAAAATGTGAGAATTTTATTTGTATTTATTCTTAATAACTCCTTCGTGTTAATGCCAGTAGCTCCTTAATAGCTCTCTGGCAAGGACAGGGTCAAAATATCAGGGGGTGAAAAAGGTGACCGACCGAAATTAAGTCTCAGTGCTATGCAATTTCAGGGTGGAAGTTAGAGAATTAAGAAATATGTCATTGTTTACTTCAGATGCACATTTGGGCTTCAAAAGGTTAAGTATTTATTGGAACTGACGAAGGAGAGTATTCGGTCAGGAACATTGCAACTCTAGCTTATTAAAAAGTTCAGGGACAGAAACGGATTTTAGGTTAAGCTGAGTATTTCTCCCCAGTAACCTCCTCACAAAGATTCAGGGAGCCATATTAGCTCATCAATTCCTATATTGTATCAATAGAAACAGAATCGTAATATCACTTGCTTTAATCATTATAGAGGTTTTGTGTTTTTGCTTAATGAGTACTTTTAAATAGAATGTTTTGCTAATATGTTCTTAGGGTAGGTTTTATAACCAAAGAAGGATGCCTTAGAAATGAACAATGGTAATAATTTGCATTTCCCTTTTCCACTAATGCGTGGAATTTGTCACAGTATTCAAGTGAATGTTTTCCTCTTCCCAGAAAGACAAATGCAATGGATCCTAATAAATTAGATCAATACAGATAATAGATAGATGATAGACAGATACAGACATATATATATATGACTTATTACAGTACAAGGCGATATGACATATCAATATCCTACACTGTAGCATAGACATTTAACAATTTCCAACCTAGCACTTCTCCAAATAAAAATCCATAGTTTATATTTACCAGTTTTCTCAAATAAACACTCCCTCTTTGTAATGTCAGGAAACATCTTTTGTTCTGAATTTTCAAAGATAAACACCAGAGGGCCAAGTCCTAAAACTTCCTCACTGAAAAGAAAAACACACTTTGAAACCAGGGTTTTGTTTGGGTCTATACTGTCGCCTTTTTTCAGAACATCTGTGACATATACCTTCTCATAAAATGTACTATCCTGGGCCTCCCTGGCAGTGCAGGGGTTAATGTCTCAGCACTATCAAGCTATCGCCAGCACTGAGGCTTGCATTCGATCCCCTGCCAGGGAGCTACCCACATGGCACAGCAGACCTCTCCTGTCTCTCCCGCTGCTCCCCTCAGCAGTGTATTTCGGTCAGTCTGCCTGTTCTGCTCCCCGCTCTGTCGCTGGTGAATCCTCTCATCCCCTGCACCTCTGGCCTGTACCCCAGTTCTTCAATGCAAACACAAATAAATCTTCTAAAAATTGTACTATAAGGAATAATTTGATAAGGAATAATTTGGCTGGAAAAGAATAGGCTTCCATGCCAATTTGAGAAGGAAAAAGAAAGAGTAAAACAAAAAGAGAAAGTGAAAAACAGCTGGAAAGAGAGAAGGAAGGAAGGATGGATGGAAGGGCTTCGTGGAGTCACAGCACCTCCACTTTCGGGGAGCTGGTTTCATTAGGGCGCTAACCTAGTCGCTGACGCCCTTGTAATAAATTCCTCTGTGCAAAAAATATCAAAGAGATGAGGAAACATGCAGCCACAAGTTTTCTCAGGCAGATGCTCTGAGATAAAGAAGGGGAGGGGAATTGCTCCCTTTTTTCTCAATTTGTATTAGTACTTACAATGGGCACCACTAATTTTTCACCCCAAATAACCGCACTATGCTTGAGATTTGGGTTCTGAGTCCCCCGGGAAGGGCAGGAGGAGTCCAGGTGTTCTGGTTCCGAACTCAGAGCTTCCGGGTGGGTCCAGGAGGCCCCTCAGATCCCCTCTGTGCTTCTCCTACCTAAATGGGCATTAGAATCACCTGGGATCCTGGTCAACTGGAAGATTTAGGGGCTCTCCAGAGGCGGGGAGGGGGTGGCTGGGCACCTGCATTTCTAAGCATCTGCAGGTGATGCGGGTCTGAGCCCACACTCAGAACAACTAGCACCGCCTCCCTAGCCCCGGGGGCACAGACTCCCACCCTTGCACAGACACGTGCCCTCAGAGAAATCATTTGACCTCTTTCATTCAGTGGGGTACCCCGTGAATAAGTACTTGACTATAAAAGTTAGGAAATTGCTTCTCAGAGCTGCAGTGACTTGGAGGCATAAACGGTGGCACTAGGCATAAGTACACTTACGAGCACACTTAGTTTAGCCCTGAAAGGGATGTGGGATGTTCCCTGGAATATGTCCAGCTCCCACATGTAAGGTAGCCCCTTCCGCTGTCAGAGAGCTCCCAATTTCATATCTGTGGAACAATCTACTGCCTTATACCTTTGATCCATGGGGTCTACTTATGTCATCTAGGACTACAGAGGATAAAATAAGATGGAAAGCACTCACACCTCCGTAGCACTTGAGAGCTAATAAAACAAATTTATGTTGATTATCTGATCTTATCAGCAGAACCCTTTATGTATTTGCAGCCAGTGGCGTTTCTCACATTGCCTTATCTTCTGTAGGTGAAACTGCCAGGGTTTGCAGACCCTTCAGCACCTTGATTTCCTTCATTTATACTCACGATAGTTTTTAGTGTCTCCTATTTAATTAGGTACAAATTAATGGCAATTAAAGAATTAGGCCTTATCTCAGTAAATACTTCCTAGTAAAGACTTCCCTAGAACAAACGCTTTCTTTTCTTAGGTTAATGTGCTGCATTTGAAATAAGTATTCCCTTCTTATGAATAGGCATAAACAAAACATTCTTATCAGGAAAAAGTAGGTGTCAAATAGGTTTGTTCAACATTTTTCCATGTCTGTAACAAATTTGTTGTAAACTTGTTTTTATTGCACATGCCATGCTACATGAGCGCAACCAAGATTTCAGGGAAGAAGAAACCATGATTATGAGGACCCTTATCACCCCAAGGGTCTGCCTCGTGTCACAGACAATGTAGTAGGGTTGAATTGTCAACATACACTGTATGTTGATTGATTCAGACTTTGAGATGCTCAAATGCTTCTCTCTGAAACAGAACCTCCACATACAAAGAGGAAGGGGTACGTGGCTTCATGACATTGGAGGAGGGGAAGCTGGCCCACGCAGACACACCATCCCTGGCTGACCCTTGTTTGGGAGGCATCTCCACTATGTCCTGAGCCCACCTGTTGCAGGGAATCCTGCAGTGATCTTGTGCTTTATTCTTTCAGCTCCCAGGAAAACTGTGTGTCTCTACCATGTCCATTAATTGGTTCCCTCATTCTTAAAGTCTCCTGCAATGTTGTCCTCAAGACAGATCAACTATGTGTCAACTCATCTTCTATAGCAGATGGAAACTGAGAAAGCCCCAAGAGGGTCAACAGATCTTTGTTCTGTCTGACTACACTGCTCCTCCTTAAAAGTCTTCTCTCAGGATTCTAAATGGGAAGGTGGAACCAGGACATCATCCTCTTGCTGCTCCTTGCTAAGTCAGAGCACATCTAGGCTACGTGGTACAACAGGAATTGGGGCCACCATCATATATGCTCAAACATTATTAAGCAATGTGGGATTATAGAATAATAATAATAATACCATTGCTGTGACGATTGAGTAAGTTTACTTATCTACAAATATTTTAAACAATATCCAACTCCTAGTATCCAGTATTATTTTCTAATTACTATTGGCACTATATAAATATTTGCGAACTGTATTGAAGGACTCTCGTTATGTTTTAGTTCACCTTCTTCTCTAGGGAACTATATGGTTTTGGAAGCCACAGATCATAAGGGCAATGATTTCTATTTCTAAATCTATTCATGTTACAGCCCATGATGCCCCACATCCCAGAGAGCAAGTTTATTGGTGTCCAACGTTTGCACAGACCGAGGAAGCACTTCTCACATAATATCCCACAACAAACAATAAAAGTCTACTTCAACCTTAGGGCTGAGAAAATATAAGAGTCCCTGCAGAGCCTCGGTGGATAAAGTGTGTGTTGACAGAAACACAGCTGTAGAGTCCTGGACTCTACACCAAACAAATAGTCCAAGTGTCCAAGTGTCTTTGGAAAGTTGCTTCATCTCACTAAACCTCACTTTCCATCTTGAAAATGGGAGTGAAAAAGCCTCATCTACCTCATAGGACAGATATAAGAAACATATGCCTAAAAATATGTGAATACTCATTTATCAAGAAGTCGATAATTTACAGAAGTAAAAGACTTGCTAATTACGCCATCAAAGCCTTCTTGAGCTCTGCTGTGAGTTTGTCTGACCCATGGGACCTTCCTGTGACATCCTCAAGGGACACCCCACCCCCATGGGACCTTGCATAGGACTTGACATTCATGTGTTTTGTGTGTGTACATGTGTGGGTGAATACTGACACCTCGATTTCCTCTCCATATTGAATCTCGCATCATCAGAAAGCAAATTACATATTATCTTCATATCAGGAATAAAATTTAAAAACTCATTCTAATAGCCAGCAGACAGTAAAGTAAAATTAGCTTCAGATGACTAAGAAAGAGCATAATGTTCTAGTTTACCGGAATCAAGGAAACCTAGTATATCCAGCAGCAATTTTTCTTCTTTCTTATTTTCTTTGCGGTGGAACTGAGAATAATGCCCTTAGGTTTTTCTCACTATATATGTAGATGGGGAGCAGAAAAGTGCAGCAATGGTACAGACTTAGCGGCACTACAATTAAAAAGGACTAAGGATAATTTGTTGATCTTTTAACACATTGTTTTTTACTATCAAGTCACCTCAAATCAACAATTTTAACATAATGTAATTCACCAAAAATATTATTTTAGGCATAAGAAAATTTTATAGGAGGAAACATATTGGATGAAGCATTGCTCATAGTGTAATTTTAATTCTGAAAGATCTTGCTAAGAGGGCTTATTTAAATAGGTTCTCCCTGAGATGAATATTTAGGGGGGAAAATTCCTACAGGATGATTTATAGCAAAATTATATGAACAGAATGAAGGACAGAAGAATTTTATTAGAAAAGGGTCTCATTTCCACAAAATATAAATTATACCTTTTAGAAAATATATTGAATTTTATTAATATTCTGTAGACAGCCTGAAGTGTTAATCTCCACCCCTACCTATAAGACTTTCATTATGATGTACAAGGTGTATTTACCCTTTAACCAAGTAATTTTTGAGCAACTCGGTAGAGTCCTCAGTTTACATATCGTACAGAATATTTTTGTGGCAGTTACAAGATCTTATCCTTTGTATTGTTGGCAACTTTTAATGATATATGGGGGGTGTATATTTCACATATAGCTATTCACACTGTAGGTAATATCATGCAAGAACACATATTAATGTTGAAATGATGGTATTTGATATCAGAGAAGAATGTTTTTCCAACATCCATTGTTATTGTTATTATTGTCTTAACCTTTTTCCTCAGTGGAGACATAATCAGTTTGGTTTTTTCAGTGCTATCATTAAAATTCTGCCTTGCTTCATCTTGAAATTTATAGTTAGAGGAATTACTTAGACTAGACAGACCATTGGGTGCTGTATTTATTGGCATTTAGAAATGACCTCATTTAGACCTTGGCTTGCTAATATTTTTTATGAGGAAATTGGCTTACTGTGATTCAAAAAACTTGGATATACATCCCCTTCCAGTCTGTTTTAGTCTTGAAGATTGAGCTCTTCTTTGGATGGTGACTTCATCCTAGCAAACATGAGTGAGGCGGTCATTGATGTAGGGTGAGTTTCAGCACAGAGAAGCTAAAACTTAAGTTTCATGTTATTTGAAAGTGAAGACTGAGAATAAGAATGAAGAGATGAAAGGGAAAAGACTGGACTCATTTTCACTCAAAAAAATATTAGTAAATAATTTCCTCTTAAATAAATATGCCCAGACCATAGTAATCAATGTTTCATACTCAGAGGGCATGAGAAATGGAACACAGGCCCCTGTTCTATTCAAAATACATATAAAATATACAGCTGCAAAATTATTCTTTATTTATAAAATGGGAATGACCTGGCAGTGATAGCTGGGTTTAAATTACAATCAGAAGTCGAATCTTTCTTACACCTTAAAAAAAATTTCATTGATTCCTCACTGAGCACAGTGAAGGCCAGCTCCCACCCACATCTCCACGCAGAGAACATTGAAGACAATTCTCTTCAAAGCACTGGGTGTTGGAAACACTAACATCTTAGCATTTCACTCCAGCCCATATATAAATGTGAAGTCCTGGGGAATTTCACAAGAGGGAAATCTCTGGTATTTTTAATTGGTCTAAATGGCAAGCAGCTCGAAGTAATAAAATGGGAGTTGACAGAACTTTTTTAGTGCAAATATTTCTAGGGTGCTCTTACAATTAATACATTCAGGAAGCCATAGCCTCTCCATTTGGATTAAAAAGAATTAAAATGAAATATTAGACCTGAAGACCTGTCAGTAGTTGTACTTAAAAGAATAAATGGGATTGTTAAAAGAAAAAAGGAATTGAATTGCCCCTACCTGCCTCTGTGGAAAAAACTGTGTTGTTCTCTGTGTTGTTCTCTCACCATGGAATTTCAGAGCTGTCAGAATTCTGAAAAGATTCTCTAATCTAGAACACACGTTTTCACAGCTGGAGATACACGCTCAGAGAAGCCTGGACAAGCGTAAGTCACACAAATGAACAACGGCAGAGTCAGGACTTGAACTTGAACGAAGTTCTTCTTATATCTATGTATCTTTTTTTTCCTTTTTTTTAGCATAGCTTTTATTTTTTTTAATATTTTATTTTATATAATTCTTACATCTTTTTTCATCTTTGCACAATGTATGCATTTTCATTTTGGTTATATTCCCCATACAATTGCACTTCCCTCTTATTTTGACTCTAGTCCTTAATCTCCTGGTCCCTGCCCCCCATAGTGTGTCTCTGATTTATAGTTGCTTGTTGATTTTGATTTTTACTTTGTATTGATTAGTCTTTTTCCTGGTCTTTTATTTAGTTCTAAATTCCTGCTATGAGTGAGACCATCCAGTATTTTTCTTTTTCTTTCTGACTTATTTCGCTGAGCATGATCCCTTCTAGCTCCATCCATGTTGCTGCAAATTGCATGTTTATCTTTTTTGATTGCTGAGTAATATTCCATTGTGTATATGTACCACATCTTCTTGATCCAGTCATCTATATTCTCCCTTGCTTTTCAGGAGCAGGGGGCTCACCAAAGTCCAACACTGTAAAGATACCAGAGATAGTCTTTGCCTTTAACAAAAAATAAACCAAACTCAATCTATCTCCACCCAACTAAATTTGATTCTCTCTTTCTAGCCTTCTTAGCTGTCCACTCTGGTTTTCAAAACTTAACATTACAGGTGAAAAAACCTAAATTGTGGAGATATCAGGGTAACTGATTCCAGATAAATTTTACACGTATGTGTATATGTGTGTTGTGTGTGTGTGTATGTGTGTGTGTGTATAAAGGATTTCCTTATACTACTATTATAGATTGGCTGTATGTTTGCAATTATATTCAAAATTTAGAGCTGCCCATAAGCCAATGAGTATTTTACCTAACATGGCCTAATTCAGCAGTAAGAAATTAAATCATTTGTATTTTAATGTAAAATTATAGGAATCACAGATTCCCAAATGTTTTGACATTTCACATTACAGATAAATTGTCAATAAATTTCAAATCATGTGTGTGTAACGTGGCCTTTTATTTTTATTGTAAATTTATTTGTTTTATTTATATATGTATGTAAGTCTTACCATATTTCAAAAAAGAAGTTAAAAGGGCACAGAAGTTACCTCTGCAGGTTTCCAGACCCCTTCAGTCAAGGTTTCACATATGTAGTCAACAATTAATACAACAATAAGGTGACCGGGCAGTTTTCTGCCTTGGTCCCATTTAATAACTTGGACAGGATGGAGCGGTATGGTCATCGTTACCATGTAGTGCAATCATTCAATAAATCAAACACAGGCTTCTCATTTAACTCATGCTGCTCATATTTCTGCACATGACCCAAATGGGAGAATCTGGACTATCCATTTATAAGGCTTATTCTTATGTGTTACTTAAAAATTTTTTATGCAATGTAAAAATAATAATTCCACAAAAGCTTCTTTCACTAACTACTTATCATTCAATGGCATGCTCTGGTCACTCAAGTTATTATCAATGGAAATTTGCAAAACCATAGGGAAAAAGGAAAGATAAGAAATATTTTCTTAGTCAGTATTTGGTGACTTTAAAATAAAAAGCCAGCCTTCTCTCTGCTAACTACGCTCTAAGTGTCACATTCAATGGCATCCTTTCAAATGGCCTGAATTGTATTCCTCACTTCCCTTGATTTATCCCTCTGTTGGCCCCTGCTGGAGAGCATCATTTTTTTTCTCTTGCCCTCTGTCTTCTATATTTCATTTCAGGTGTCTGTCGAGGCAACGAAAGATAAAGCTCCCTGCTTTCCTTTGTACTAAAGTTCTATATGGAATCAGTTCACCTGTCTGTCACTCCTCATTAAATTCTTACCCTCTTCATTCACATCCTGATCTTTGCAAATGAACATTTGCTTAATAAATGTTCCCAAGACTAACAGTGCAGAGTGAAAATCCCACACAGCAGTAAATTATTAACTCAGTCACAGAGGGAGTGCCATATATGACTTTTCAGAATGAGTTATTATGTGGATCATCATGTAATTATGAATTTTTCAAGCCATGATAGAGGAAAATTGAATATTTAATATTTTATGGACATATTCTACACTGAGGACATCTTTCAAAATTTTATGATAATTTTTAGAGTGAGCGAAGAGCTGAACAAAAGTTACAAAATAATTGCAAACTTGAATATTTAATCACTAGGGACATTGTTGGTTATTTCTCAGATTATATAATGTAACCAAGGCTGTGAACTTTTAATCATAGTGTATTCAAATGGAGGGAAAAGTGCATTAAAATCAAGCTATAAATATGTTTTTGTTGTTTAAGAAATAAGAATACAGAGCTTAATGTTGTCAAATTGAGACCTTAAGGTATAAATATTCATGTGAGGCAATCTTGAATGATTTGTTCTAAATGAGCTATTGCTGAACAAAAACTTTTTCAATTAGCCACTTTAAAATGTTCAAAATCCATACCAAGGAGTAAATATCAAAATATCCTTAAAATCTTGACTACAAATAAAATGGAAAAATGATACTGTTGTTTATCAAAAGATAAAAAAAACTGCAATAAATATTTTAAAGCCTTGGTGAAAAAAATGATAGGGAAAATTAAAAGATAGAGAATTCTATGCCAAATAGCACACACAATTTTATGATGAATCACCTCATGGCTTTACACAGATTCATGTATTCATATCATCGCATAATATTTACCACTTCGATTACCACTCGCGTTTTAACTTCAAAAATTAGAATAGTAAGTGATTCCACATTGCTTTTGAGTAGGTTCTCCCTGTTGCTGGAAAGGCCCATTTTCCCAGTGCCAATGACAATAACCTTGAGGACAGTTGAGCTGTTTGAACTCAGACCTTTTCTACCCCGGTTGAGTATTAGTGTTGCTCCTCCCACCTCCAGAGATTCTAAGTTGGCTTACAATGAGTTGGATGCTGATTCTTTTTTAACTTTTGAAATTATTTTAGTTTTCAGTCCTGTTTTAGAAATACTGATAGTGAGGGGACTGTAGTCAGTTTCCAGAGGTCAAAACTTCCTATGCACTTTGAAAATCCAAGAGTCACCCTTTGCGGTGCGCCGAGTATATAAACACTTAGGACACAGAGGTGGCTGGTAAACAGTCTGGCTCTCAGACGGCATATCATCTAACAAAACACATTGATAAATCAATGTGATCCGGCAGCTGCAGCTGTCAGAGAGGCCCCTGAGCAGAAACCAACACACAGGTACCAGGATGGACATTTCTAAGCCTGAAATTTGACTAAGGAAAAATGATGACTCCAATGTTTCTTGCAATCATTTGTTTACTCATTCCATTATTTATTCAACAAATATTTATTAAATGACTACTTTTTCCCTAGAATTTTCTTCTTCTATAAGATGATAGGTGACTGAAAATAAGGGGAATGTACCAGCTGGCATTGCCACATAACAAACGGCAGCAAAAATTCAAGTGACTTAAAATACAACTACCCAATTGTTCAGGGTTCTGCATATTGGCAGTTTATTAAGGCTGGATTAGTAGTTTTATCAGAACAGCATGGCTAAGTAATATCATGACCTCTTACCATCTTTAACGAGGTGAGATTTGACAACAGTGCCTCAGCTTACCTGAGAAATTGAATCTGTTCAGAAACCTTTCCAAAAAGTAACTCAAACCTACCATAGACTACCAAAGTTAAGACAGCAATTCCTTTTTTTGAGATTTAGTCTTCGGAACATTTTGTTTATTTGCTCGCTTATTTATTTGTCTTACAAGTAAGGAACGTGAGTTTAGAAAGAAATTCAACTATAGACTCACTTGTATGCTAGGAAACTGCATAGTTATTAAGGATGAGAGAAGTACTGAATCCACTCCAGTAACCTTTTTGCTGCTGGCATTTGATATTCATTTTGCATCTCATTTGTTAGCCCTAGAAGCAAGCCCATCTTTCTCTTTCCTCAACCTGAATTCTTAACTTTCTGATATTTGTAGACTTGGCCTCAATTCTTAACTTTCTGATATTTTTTAAAATTGTAGTAATAGCTTTTAATACGAGACTTAGTCTTGTAACAAACTTTTAAGAGTATAATGCAGCGTTGTTACCTATTGGTACTATATTGTACAGAAGATGCTAGAACTTTAGCATTGAATAGTAACTCCCTATTTCCCCTCACCTGGCCCCCGGTAACCACTATTCTGCTCTCTGCTTCTATGGGTTTGACAATTTTAGATTCCTCACGTAAGTGGACTCACACAGCCTTTGTCCTTTATGACGGCCTTTATTCACTTAACATAATGTCTTTAAAGTTTATGCATTTGTCACATATGGCAGGATTCCCTTCTTTTTTAAGGTTGAAAAATAATTTATGTATCTAGTAAGTATTCTATTGTTACAGTATCATGACAGATAGATAGATAGATAGATAGATAGATAGATAGATAGATAGATAGATAGATAGATAGATAGATAGATAGAAAACCACATTTACTTACTCACTCATCCATTGATGGACATTAAAGTTGTTCCCACATATTGGCTATTGTGAATAATGCTACAGTGCACATAGGAAGAAGATACTGATTTCGATCCTCTTGAATAAATATCCAGAAGTAGAAATGCTGAGTCACATGGTAATTCTGATTTTAATTTTTGGAGGACACTCCATACTTTTTTCCATAGCACCATTTCACATTCCCACAACTGTGCCCAGGGCTTCAATTTCTCTGAATCCTCACCAACACTATGAGATTTTCAACCAGAATTCAAAACTGTGAAAAACAATACACCTTGGAATAATCTCAGTGAAGGAAATGCCCAAACATTTTAGAAGAAAAGAAAGACTTGCATAATTGGCAGGAGTGATCACCTGTCTAATGGGAAGACTAAAACTATAAAAATGACAGTTCTTCCCAAATCTG